ATGAACATTTCTACCTCATTATTTTTTATATTTGACATATGTCATTACTACAATCTTTATGGTAGCAGAGATGCCGAGCTTACCCAAGCCACCATCAGAGTTCGTGGGCTTGCGCATGTCACCAGAGCGGAAGGGTTAGGTGTAGCGCTGCTTCCGAGTTTAAAGTCGATTGTTCGGTCGCGGCAAACAAAAAACCAATGCTTTGAGTGAAAACCTAATTCGAAAAAATGATCTATACACAGGTCCTAACAGTAAACCGAAACTGGCATATGGTAGAGAATCAAAAAACACTATCAACTGGATTCCTAAGAATCAAAAACCGCCATCAACTGGTCCTGTTGGAAGCAGTCAGAGAATCTTGGCATCGAGTAGTCCCTACTGGCACGTGGTATCAGACGGACTATTTTCGAATGTTTTCGTTTCTAGTAAACTGTGGAAAGGAAAAGAGTTTCAACTTGAAGCGAGTTTCAATCGGCTAGAAAAAGCACAAAATAATACGCAGAAATGAAGAAGTGAAGTACTGTTTCAACAGGCAGCTGTAACGGCTTGGTAATTTGCTTAATCAGCTGCACCTTCATACCTTTCGCACAGCTCGCAATCTTTCAGTTGTTGTTATGACAGATGCTGCATCACTCTGTGATCCTGGCAACTTTTTTCTGCTTTCCTTTTTCATTTTTTTTTTTTCAACCAAAAATTACTAGGTGGACCATATTTCTTTCACCACTCGTGTCAATTTTTCATCTCACCTAATGGCTATCTTCAGCTGCTTTTCTAGAGAGATTAATAAAAATCTTAATGCCAAAAATATTCGTATTTTCTTTACCGAACACTGTCATCTGGAGGTGGTTACTCGATTCGTACGCAAGCCAGTATTCCCGCAAACTGATAATTTCTCATAATTTATTCAAACAGATTTTTTTAAAACCAAAAAAAAAAAACGATGAACAAACTCACAGTGGAAAGACTATTTCTTGCGCACATCGCATTGTATGGCTATGATTAACGACTGGATTGTAAAAGATGGGGTACCATTCACGAAGTGAGCTCTTGGCGCAACCATAAAGTAATGGAGAACCGCGCGGTGGCATAATGAGGACAGTGAAGAGGGCAGAAACGACGCATTCCAGCAAACACGAGAGATGCTGCAGGAACAAGTGCTGCCGTATGCTAAAAGGCTGAGTAAAAAAAACACATTAGGAACAATCAACGAAGAAATACAAACACTTCAATTTGTCACAGTCTATCGGAGGCATAATGAACACAGGTCAGAAGTCAGTAA